TTTTAACCAATAAGAAGGATTTTGATGGGTGGGAATGTTTGATGGTACCAGAGAATGAGTACCTTTTCATTTGGTTTTGTTTTTTAAGACAGGATCTGGTCTGTATTCCAGGCAACTCTGGACTCACTGTGTGGCTCAGCTGGCCTCATACACACATTACAAAAGGCCCCTGTTACAGCCTCCTGAGTGCCAGGGCTACTGAAATCTGCTTACACCTGGCAGGGAACTATGTCTATGGTGGGGAGTGGTTCAGGCAGCCGATTCAAAGCTCCCCATCCCCAGAACCTGTTGCACGTGATGTGGTGCAGGGAATTTATAGATGTGATCAAAGTGCTGATTTTGAGATGGGGAGATTGCCTACAGGCCCTAAAAGCAATCAGGAGAGGCAGACAGAAAGCCAGGTAGTATGTCACAAGCCTGGGATCCCAGAACACCAGGAAGTAAAGGCAGGAAAATCAGAAGTTCAAGGTCATCTTCCTCCTTTACAAGGTGAGTTTGGGGCCAGCCTGAGTTACATTAACAATATATTAATCCCAGAACTCAGGAGGCAGAGGTAGGTGGATCTCTGAGTTCGAGGCCAGCCTGGTCTACAGAGTGAGTTCCAGGACAGCCAGGACTACACAGAGAAAGCCTGTCTTGAAAAAAAAAAAAAAAATCAAAACAAAAACAAAAAGCCCGAAAATATAAAGCAGACAGAGGAAGATGTGGTCAGAGACAGGATGCACCTCTGTGTGGAAGCACAGTGGCTGGAGAAGTCGTAAAGGGTCACAAGCCACAGAGCACAGACCATCCCAAAGCCTGCAGGAGGAGCCAGACCTGCTGACACCTTGACTTGTGTCAGCAGAACTGACCTTGGACTTAAGGCCTCCAGAAACTGGCCTGTTCTGAGTCACTGAGTTTGTAGTTACTGGTAACAGCAGCCCTGAGGTGTTCACGTGGAACAAGTCTGTGGTCTTCTGTGTTCCTCTCTGTAAAGATAGGGAGAAGCAGGGATCCCCACACTGGCTGATAGGAGACCGGCTCCCTCTCCCATCAGCCTCAGCAAGTGCTATGAGAAATAAAGCTCTCTCCAGGACCATAGGGTGGGCTCACGGTGACAGAAAATGACAGGAGGAGATCATTTCATTGGGCTGCTCTCCTGTCTGGCCCTGTGCTTAAAGATTCTGTCTAGCAGGCCCTGACACCTGCAGAAGGACTGGGGAGGTCACTGCTGCTTCTGGCCTTGAGTTTACTTCTGCTCTGCCTCCTGCAGTTCTCATCCAACCCAGACCAACCATGGCCATGCTGGGCTGGCTGGCCCTTGGGTGCAAAGACCAAGGTTCACCGGGGCAGTTGGGCCCAGCAAGAAGCCTCCTCCCCTTCCACCTTTCCCCTACATTCCAATCCACCCAGACTGGTGAAATCTGGATTACAGCAGAGCACAGGCTACCATGGTGGATAAGGCCAATTCTCCCTTCCTATGAACCGAGGCAGGTCCTTTCCCTTCAGGACTATAAGAAAGGTCCCATGCCCATCTAGTGGGGAAACAGTTTGGCCATGCAGAAGCCTTGCCTAAAATCATACCATGAGTTACCTTGTAACCTAATCTAAAGGCTGTGCAGGAGCAATATAATCCAAACCACATGTGCATGCTAACAATTCCGGGCTTCAGGCATGTACAGCGGCGGGGAACAAAGCCCTCAGTGCCAAGTGGATGGATAAGAGCCTAAGGAATGAAAATAAGAGGCGACGCGAGCTAGGTAGCAGGGCAGGGAGAAGAGGCCAGCTTAGGTGGGGAACAGCCTAAATCTAAGCAAGGCAGGCAGTGGAGGTCTCACAAAGGTCAAACCCAAACACACAGGGCAGAGGGACAGAGAACGCTGGTGTCGCTAGGGAGGCTGACTGGGAGAGCTCTGTGCTGTGCCTACCTCACGTCACAATGCCTGACCAGCCAGGTCAATTGCCATAAGACCTCTCCTTCCAGCTGGCTGGGAGGACAAGGCTTGAATGGGTGGAAGAGCAGGCTGGGAGGTAAAGGCCAATCAGCCAGGACCCAAAGGTAAAGAAAATTTTCATCTGTTACCCTGGTAATAAATTCCTGAAGAAAGAGATGTATTTGATGTCCTAGTCGATTCCCAGAACTTTGGCAAAACCCACAGACATTAATTCTCACACAGCTGCAGGTGTGGCTGGGGCCTGCCTCTTGTCTCCAGCAGGGGCTGCCCGAAGGATCCTGGTTGCTCCTTAGCTTGCAGACATAGCCCACTAACCCCTGCCTCTTCATGTACACTGGAGTGTCTCCTTCCTCCCTCTGGTTTAAAGTAGAGTATTGGCACTATTGAGATGACTCAGCAGGTAAAGGTGCTTGCCATTAATCCTGAGGACCTGAGTTTAATCCCCAGCACCCTCAGGATGAAAGGACAGAACAGGCTCCCACAAGTTGTCCTTTGACCTGCACAGAACCTGAACACACATACATAAATAAAAATAATATATAATAACATTTAAAGCAGGATACCATTTGTACCCTGCTTTAACTTCAGGCCTCTCAAATGCTGGGATTCTGCCATGCCACATTTTTTCAAGATTTATTTACTTTATGTATATGAGTGCTCTATCTGCATGTACACCTGTATGAGAAGAGGGCATCAGATTTCAGTATAGATGGTTGTGAGCCACCATATGGTTGCTGGGAATTGAACTCAGGACCTCTGAAAGGGCAGACAGTGCTTTTAACCGCTGAGCCATCTCTCCAGCCCATGCCACTTTGTATTCTTCTAAGGACACTAGTCATTGGATTTGGGGCCTCCTCCCAATCCAGAATAGGCTTAACACACTGAGAATCACCACAAAGACAGAGGTTAGGTGAACTCCAGAGCCCTTGGCTTGTTGAAGCTGAGGCAGCTTGAGCATGAAGTCCTTTTGACAAGATGAGGAGCTAGGGACTAGGCTGTTAATCCATGCCTGGCTAGCCAATAAAGTCTGCTCCTTCCTTTGTACTCAATAAGCCTGGCCTGAGGTCTGGGCAATGCTAATGTCTTCTCCTGAGTTGAAGTCCCGTTAAACTCTTGCCTGATTTCCCCCATGTACTCAACCCTGGCTTGTTTCTATTGTTTCCATCAGGAAAGTTCTCTAAATTTTGGTGACAACTTCACCCTAACTTGATTCCATATGCAAAGAGCTATTCCTAAATAAGGCGGCATTCTGAGGTTCTAGGTGGACACAAGGTTAGAGGCCACCAGTCGATCTACTACAGGTGTTACATGCAGTTCCACACCTGAGCACACCCCACAGCATGTGTGTGCCAGAGCCTATGAGCTGCTTTCTGCCGGGCAGCCTGGGCCAGCCCTGGGTGCCCAGGGCCATCAGAACATTGGAAGGGGATCTGGCAGCTGAGAGACAACTGCAAAGGCTTTCCCTGCCATGAGCTGAACCTCCCTCCCCTAGAGACAGGCAGAACGCAAACCAAGCCTGTTGGGGAAGGGCCAGGTGCTTGAGCAGAGAGCTCCAGTGTGTGCTGAAGACCTGTGCAGCCAGTGAGGCTGCGGGAGAACCTGGGAAGGGCCCCAGTGAAGTTTTATGGGGGCTGAAACTCAGTTGTTCTGAGACTTTTGTTAAAAAGGAAAAAGAACTGGTGGCACAAGCCTACAATTCCAGCAGATGGGAGGTGGAGGCAGGAGGATGGACTATAAGTTCAAGGTCAGTTCTATGTTATATAGCAAGATTGTCTCAAACAAAACAAAAGGAAAAACAAACCTAGGCACCAACCCCAACACATGGGAGCCTTGGAGTCAGGACACTTTAAGTGTCTCCTCCCTAGCACAGAGGCCCAGCCCTGGCTGAGGGCAGTGAAAGCCTTTGCAGTTGTCTCTCTGGTGCCAGGTCATACTCCAATATCCAACGGCCCTGGGCACCAAGGGCCAGGCCAGGCTGCTACAAGGATGGCAGAAAGACAAGGGGCACAGCTTTTTGATATCCTGCCCATGGGGCCTAGCAGGCCCGTGTGGTGACTCCCAGCTTGATGTGGGGAAGAAGAAAGGGTTTTGCCCCACTTTTTAGCCTAGAATAGTTAGCATATAGTGAAATCCACCATTAAGTACAATGTGCTTTGGCAAATGCATCTCATTACTTCTTTGATGCCACTGTACCTGCTCCCTGAGATCACCATTCTAAAGATTGTGCAAGACCTACCTAGCATGCTTTTTAATAACACAGATACTTGTTTCTGGAAGGGCAGGAGCCATGCCTATGGTCAGAAGACAACTCGTGGGAGTCAGTTGTCTCCTACCATGTGAATCTGGAGATTGGACCCAGGTCATCAGGCTTGGCACCAAGTGTCTTTATACTGAACCATCTTGCTGGCCACTCCTGGTGTTAAGACTATCCTGTAATCGCCTATAGCGTCAGGAATTAACTCCCATGCAGCCTTTTGATGCCTGGACGAAGTGGTTTGGAAAGCTTTCCCTGTTGATGGACATTTGTACTACCCATCAACCTGAAGGTAGATGGGATTCTCTGATGGACTAGAGTGGAATGAAAGGATAGGAATGAAGTGGGGTGCTGTTGATGACCCACAGGTTTTTCGTTTAAGTCATTATGAAAATGGAATCACTTTTTGCTGGGGTGGCAAAGATGGAGATGCAGTTCTGGGAGGAAAGCCAGGAATTGGCCTTTGCCATGTGACATTTCAGCTGTTCCAGTGGCAAGATGAGCCCGTGGTTGCGGGGGGACTCCTCTGAGACGGGCTGAGTAGGTGTGACAGAGAAAGGTCTGAGATGCCCAGCCCTCCAGCACCGGAGAGGCCTGGGCAAGAGTAGCCTGCAGTGCTTGGGAACCATGTGAAGAACAAACTCCCAGCAGGAAGGGGAGGCCCCCACCACTGTACAACCTCAAATCTAACCAACACCTATTAAAAACGAAATGCCTCCCTGAAGCTGAGGGCTAACTCTGCAGGCAATGGATGAGGAAAATGTAAATGACCCCCAAACACCCAAGCCCAGAGCAGAAAAATGCTGACTCCATTGTCACATTTGAAGCAACTTTATTACAAGGCTGATTGCCTTTGACAAACTCCAGTTCCAGCATAGACTATGCAGACCGGTAATTTTTGCATTGATCTTTGCATCCTATTTGGACTTTCCTTATCAGGCCATTCTGGGGCAATGGAGGCACAGCCGCCAGGTGGCCAGCTGACCACTCACTGAGTAAGGGCAGCTGTGGGCCAGGAGGGAGACCAGGTCACAGGTTGGGGAGGGCAGGCCACCCTGTCCTTCAGTCCTCACCCTCATACCTAGTCCTGGCAAAGCACCTCACTGCCTTGTCATTCTAAAATGACAAAAATAAAGAAATCCTCCAAGCCCAGTAAAGGATGTGAAACTGTCACCTCTCCCCACTATCCTATCTGGCCTGCAAGGGTCCTCCCTTGTGCCTTTCCTTCTGTTTCCAGTGGGAGACAAATCTCTTTGGACAGACATGCCATCAGTGTGGGCAGCAGGTAAGGTCACTCTGTGGCCACTCCTCTACCTCATCCCCCCACACCCCACCAGGTAGTGACAGGAATGTACAATCAACCATGAACATAAATATGGATAAAAAATGAACTTGAAAATGACAGGCTATTAATTAAACAAATCTATAAAAATAGTTAGGACATAACTCTGTTCAAATAAATATAAAATAAATAGGCTCCAAGCAGAGTGATACACATGTGGACTATGAGGCTGGTCCCACTTGGCCCCACAGGGCCCTCAGAACAGACTTGAGAGCAGCCGAACCACCTGCCCCCCCGGCTCTCAGTAAGTGTGGCACTTGCGCAGTGTCCAGCTTATCCTTCCGAACCAAATCCTTTACCTAGTAAGACATAATTAAGGCCTTCAGCATCTTTTTCTTCTCATTAGGGCAGCATTCGTGGGGCAGATAACCTGCACCATCCTCACACCACAGAATGGAACAGTAAGTGTGGTCATGAGCTGGTACCAGTTCTGACAGGGTTTAGGGCAGCTCAGAGGACATTAGGCCCATGCAGGCAGCACAAATCCTCTGGGCTCTAGGTCCTAGCACTAGCTTTCAGCAAAGCCATGCACCATGGTGCCAGGCAGCCAGTGCCTGAGTACCCAGGTATATCCAGATGGTCCTGCTGGTGAGCTCAGAAGAGGCAAGGATGTACGTGGTACTCCTTCAGTTTCCTGTACCACAAGTCCACATGGATGCTGCAGCTTAGGAAACAGGTTGGGAGGAGCAGCACTGAGGGGAGAGGGACAGACGGACAAGCAGGAGTGAGCCAGGCCCACTTCCTACCATAGCACATCAGTGGAAAAGATATGAGGGGACACAGGAATGCTCTTTGGACCAGAGGGAGGACATGGCTGAGATCTGGCTGCGTGGACAAGATGGAAGAACTAAGCTGGCCTCCAAGCTCACTATCTGGCAGGCACTGCAGAAAATGTCCTGTCTCTAGGTACAGAAGCCCAAATCCTACTGATCCCTGAACCCCAAGGAATGTCCACAAGTCTTCCTTGGAAGGGACACAAGGTCTGCCAGATCAGCAGGACCATCCCAGAGCTTGCCAGCTCCCTGCCCCTCCCCTGTGGCATCCTGGGTTTCACAGCTTGGGTAAGCCAGCTTAGTGTTGGCACATTCACAGAATGAGATGGCTGCACACCCTGGGCTGTAGCCCAGAATCACGAAGTCCACCACCTTCCCGTCACCGAGACTGCACACCCAGGGTGATCTTCAGGTTCTCGTATACCACGTAGCTGATGCTCACAGCTGGAATCACCTTCATGAAGTTGGGGGCCAGCCCCCGATATAGCCCAAAGGCCCCCTCAGTCCGCAGAATCTGTTTGAAGAGGCTGCTCATGGTTACCTCAGGCGCACCCTCAATGGAGGCTGTGGGAGAGAGGCCATTGGTCAGATGCCATCTGTCAGCATCCCAACTACTAAGGACATGAAAGCCAGTGCAGGACTAGCCTTACCTTGTGCCTGCATCCTAGTCCTGACTAGGGCCAATGGGTAGCTGGCCAGCTGGCCACAGGTACTGGAGATAGTGCCACAGGCCAGGAGAACGAACACACCAGGGTCTGCACTGTTCACTGCATAACGCTGTAGCCAGGTATTTTTCAGTGTCTAGAGGGAAATGAGATACAGAGTGAGCCTTAAAGAGCCAGTGTGGGAGAGACACACTGGGGGGTGGGGCAGCTATTGGATCCTCAAGAAAGCTGTTTCCTATCACATGGGATCTGAGAAGCCAATGTAACCTGATTCACTTGGCCTAGGCCTTGCTGAACTCCTGACTTGCCTGCTTTGGCACCTGCTGTCACTTAGGGTTCTTGGCTAGAACAGGAAGCAGAATGAGCACTATGTCCCCAGGGAACACCGGCCTATGTGGTCTGAAGTCTGAGGAGATTTGTGAGTCCCCAGTGGCCACCATGTTTTGGGGTCTGACTGCGAGCCTCTGGACTCTTAGAAGGTACAAAACCTGGGAAAGAGTTTGGACCCACTGTGCCAGAGGTAGCGAGTGACAGGATGGTACTGCAGCAAACAGCTGCCTGCTATCTCTCATCTAAGCATCTCTATCAGGGAGGGCATGGGTACCAGGCAGGTGCTGAATTTCCCTATGCCCCAGGGCCTCACCTCATAGACAGCTAGGTCGATGCCAGCATAGGGGATGATCCCCAGCATGTTGGGGATGTAGCCTTTGTAGAAGGCAGCTACACCCTCCTTAGCCAGGATCCTCCTGGCACAGTCCAGCATGCCCGAGTACTGGCCTGTCTTCCGAAGGGCCATTCGGGTCTTCAGAACCTTCAACGAGAGTGACAGGAAGCATGAACACAGCGTGTTCCTCTCCGTGTCCCATGTACACTGCCCACTCCAGGATCTAGGTGGCCTTACCTCCATCGGATAGATACTGCTCTGGGCAATGGCTCCAGCCAAGGAGCCTGCCACAAGCCTTTCATGAATTCTCAATGTCTCCTGATCACTACCAACAAGGCGTTTCATCTAAAACAGGAAAAAACAAAGGGATGCACCAGGGGGCCACAGCATTTCTCCTGGCCCCGCTCACAGCCAGCCAGCTGTGAGACCCGTGACCCTGAAGCTACTTTATGTTAGCCCCAAATGGAAGGAAGTAGTAGGAGAGCTGGGGTCATGCCCAGGCCTATCTACCTCGCTGTTCTTTGGGTGCAAGTACTGGCTCCAGTGTCAGGGACCACAGTTCAGCAGATACCGCATAAGCAGCTGCTAGCTGGCAACCCCCTCCCAGGTCCTCACCTGCTCATACGCCATGAACTTGATGGCCGACTCTGGGGCAATTTTGAGGACATTGATGCCATTGCCCCGCCAGAGCGACTTGGCACCCCCTTCTCGAATCATCTGTGTGAATCCACCAATGATGCACATATTGTTGCTGCGAGAGGCATGGACCTGAGGGGAAAGAGATCGGAGGCACTCAGCAGGACGGAGGACTGCCACTGTCTACCTTGGGAGCAGCCTTTTCAGAAAGGCTCTTCTTCCCTGAGTAATTTAATATAACATCCCAAGAATTCAGCAGGTATGAATGGGTATTTTTATTTTATTTATTAGTTACTTAGTTTCTTGATGGGCTCTTATAATATGTAGCTTAGGCTGGCCTTGAATTTTCAGTCTTCCCAAGTGCCAGGATTAGAGGTGTTCCCCACCAACCCAGATAGGGCAGCTCTTAATATCTATACCTCCCTGGACTCTGTTAAAAGCAAAAGTAAGAGGAAACTGTTCAAGCTTCTGTTTTCGCAGAGGCTTATGGCCCAGCTGGGAGGGGCCAGCACATGCTAGATTATGCCTAAAGCTCTTCTAAGTCTTTGCCTCTGTCTGTTTCTGGAAGACAGGGGCAGATCCCACTTAGTTACTTATGCCAAGGCGGGCAGGCTGGTGCCCACAAAGCATTAACTCCAAATCCATTATCTGGGGTGGGAAGGTTGGACTTTTAAAGCAGGGCCCCAGCTGAAGGAGGGAGGGGAAGCTGAGCCACCAATGAATCATGGGTAAAACTCTGCCCAATTTCCTGCTCACCTGCATGAGCACCACCTTAATTCTATCCAGAGGGTTTCTGGGGGGTGTGTGTGTGTGTGTGTGTGTGTGTGTGTGTGTGTGTGTGTGTGTGTGTGTGTGTGTG